TATAATTGGTGATTGATTTCATTATTTGCTTGAATGTGATACTTTTAAAGAAATTAGAACAAAAATGTTGAGGCAATATTATTATTGTCACTCAAATACCTATAAATTGAATGAACTAATGAACAGTAAAGATCATATTAAATTGACAAAATTAGCTTTACTTTGTAAGAAAATCCTATTAGTTGTTAAATGAGATCTTTTTTGTTAACGTGTCATTCCCTATTTTTTTTAATCTTTTTTACAATTATGGTATACCAACAATTGCAAATTGTAATTTGGAAATTTTACTCAAAACTACCAGATTTGAAGCAAGAGGTGATGAAAAATGGCCTGTGAATTAGTTTTTGACACATAATACAAGATGTAAGACAAGTTTAATTTAGCACCTAAAACCCATTTTTGAACGATGAAAATAACCGTTTTTGACGAGTGTTTTCGAAGTATATCAAGATGTTTTCCGACGAACTCCGTGACAGTTATCACAAGAACTCCTGAACTATTTATCATAAGAACTCCATCCTTCGTGTAACATTTCCTCCCCCGTGCTAATGGCATGATCAACAAGTATTCAAATGTTTAATTTTGATACCTTTCATAGTTTTAACATAATCAGCAATTTTGACAAGATTTTAGTTAAAGATCCTGTAACACAATTTTTTATGGTTTTATTTCATAAATATGATGCTCAAATTAAGATTTGTCAATATTGTGAGTTCTAATTAGCATTATTTATAAAGATATTGCACAATTTAACATTTCATGTAAATAAAGGGAGGTAATTTGAAATGTATTTTCAATAAATTCTAAGTCAAATTTTCCAATAAGAAATGAATGCATGTAATTTAGTAATTAAATATAATGTGCACAAATATTTGCAGTACACATTTTACATATTCTTCGATGTTTGAAAATTGTTTTATTTGCATAATATATATATAATTATTTGCAAGTGTGGTATACTGGTAGACAACTTAAACTGAAGCCTCCGTGGGGGTTAAATACGGAACCGCTACTTCGTCAACAACTGCGGACCAGCTGCCGGTGTCCTGACTAATGCCGAGGGGAGTGGCCCTACAAAGTAGGCGTTTGGGTCGACGAGGACGGTGTTCTAGGGTGCGTGAGCCCCTAGCACGGTTAGACGGTTTGAACGGTAGGCCTTTTCCTGGCACAAACAGCCCAGCCCTTTTCAGGGCTAACCTTTCCTATTGTCACAGGTTACTGTACATTTAGGTTCTCATTGACCGCCGTACAGTGACCTACTTTCGGCTAAAAATTCATATCTCTGGCTAATACTCCGTGGAAATTGCATGGAAGCAAATTATCACCACTTTGTGCTTCAAAATTAACTCTTTAAGGACATGACTGTTGACATGTCCGGGGTCCGTACTCGACAGACAAAGGGCAAACTCACAAATTACAAAGGGCAATAACTCAAATATTTTAAAGGGTAGAGTTATCTTTCTTGCGCGCAGCATTTCTCTTAAATAAAATAAATCCACCTATGAAGTTTCATGTTGACATCTTAAAGACTTTTTGAGATATGCTCCACTCAGGTAAAAAATAAAGTATGAAAAATAACAAAGGGCAATAACTAAAAATTATGAAGGGTAGAGTTATTACTCTAGTGCAATGCACACCTCCTGAGTGAGATATATCAACCTATAAAGTTTCTTGTTGATACTTTTTGAGATATGATTCGGACAAAAAATATGAAAAAAGGCAATTACTCTAAATTTATAAAAGGTAGAGTAATCATTCTTGCGCATAGCATAAGTCCTCAATAAGATCTCCCTGACTATGAAGTTTCATGTTGATATCTCAAAGACCTTTTGAGCTATGCTCCACTTAGGTTAAAAATTAACTATGAAGAATAACAGAGGGCAATAACTCAAAAATATGCAAGGTAGAGTTATCATTCTTGTGCAATGCACTCCTCCTCAATATGATCTTTACACCTTTGAAGTTTCAAGTTGATACCTCAAATACTGTTTGAGATATGCTCAAAAATTATAATGGATAGAGTTATCATTCTTGCGCACAGCATTCCTCCTCAATAAGATCTACCTAACTATGAAGTTTTATGTTGACATCTCAAAGACTTTTTGAGTTATGCTCCACTCAGGTGAAAAATTAAGTATGAAAAATAACAAAGGACAATACCGATAAAAGCGAGATTCTACATTCACAGTAACGATTTTGGAATTTACTGAAAGATATTAATAATATATGTTGTTCATGTTGTGCACTGCAATCCGCATTAATATGATCTAGCCACCTATTACGTTTCGAGTTGAGACCTCAAATACTTTTGAGATATGCTCCGGACAAAAATGTGGGACGGAAGGACGGACGGACGGAATAAAGGAAGGACGGACATACATACGGACGGAGACTTATTTCTATATCCCCCGCCGCCTTTTGGCGGGGGATAAAAAATCAACAATACAAGGCTTTTTTTTAAGAATTAAATATAATTAAAGAGAACTTTAAATAAAAGACAGAAAGAGGGCAAATTAACGTAATCTATCTAAAATTGTAGTGAGGAAGAATCGACTTCGAATAGCTGGGCGGTTTGAATATAGACAATATAGAAATATTCTATAGATTAACCTCCTTTCTTCAAACAGACTCCTTTTTTGATTCATCGTTATTTAGATTGTGTCATTTAATATTAAGTGTATATTTTTCGTTTGAATGAAATACGGATTATACGAGGGGAAGTAAGAAAATATCCGGACTTTTGACTCGTTCCCGAAAACCATTCAACATTTAAAAAAAATCTTTCTACTCTTTTTCAAAATATTCTCAGCCTAAGTCCACGCACTTTTGCCATCTTCGTGGGAGCTTTTGTATTCCCGCTGTGAACCATGACTTAGACCTATGTTTTAGGTTCTGTGTAACAGCAGATATCAAAGCCGCCCTGCTCTTATATTTCTTTCCAGCAAGCATTTTGTTCAGTTTTGGAAACAAATAAAAGTCACAGGGGGCGAGGTCTGGGCTATAAGGATGGTGAGACAACAATTGCCATTTGTAAGAGTTGATGACCTCCACTGTAGCTGCGGTGGTATGGGAGGGGGCGTTATCGTGAAGAAGGAGGACATTTTTCTGTGCTAACCTGGGACGCATTTGCTTCAGCGTTTCTCTGAGATTTTTCAGAATTACTTCAGAATAGTACTTGGCGGTGACAGTTTGACCTTTTGGCATGAAATGAGTAAGTATCATTCCTTGTGAATCCCGAAAGGCAACAAGCATGACTTTGCCTGCCGAAGGAGACAGCTTAAAATTTTAAGAAGGTGGGGAAGCAGCTCGTTTCCACTGCTTTGACTAAGCTTTTGTCTCAGGTTCGGAATAATGAACCCACATCTCAGCTCCAGTGATAATGCGGTTCAAAAACTTATCTCCTTCACGGTTAAAACGACTTTAATGTTCTTTTGCATTGGTTACTCTGGTTGCCCTTTGATCTGCGGACTAGGCACCCACCTGGCACTTACCTTGCTCATGCCTAGGTGTTCGTGTAAAATCTTGTGTGCCGATGCCTTAACGCTGCTAAATTTGTTAGGTACCTCCTCCAAAGTTACTCGACGATTTTAACATTTGCTACCATTGTTGGGGTCACCGCCTCAGTTGGCCGCCCAGTCCTAGGCCTGTCACAAACACTTGTTCTGCCTTCACAAAACTGAGAAACCCAGTTGTAGAAGGTTGAACGTGATACACATTTATCAGAAAAATATTTTTAAGCCCCTGAAAGATGTGGCAGGGCTTTTCACCTTCTGCAACCAGAAACTTTATTACAGAGCGTTGTTCCTCTAACAAAGAATCCATGATAGACGAAACACCTATCATATATCAGAGGGCAAAATACTGTGTAAACACAACTATCATTGAAAATAAATTGACCACGTTATTGCCGAATGAATGTAGTTTTCACCATTTATATATTGTGTATGTATATAGCTGCACGTGGAAAGAGAGAGGAGCATGAAAAGTCCGGATATTTTCTGACCGTCCCTCGTATTTTCACAAAACATGATTAAATTCCACATATTTCCACGAGCTGGAACGGCGAGTGAAATATATTGAATTTCATCATGTTTAAGTGATTTATACAATATTTCACGAAAATGAAAAAGTAACCTTTTTATTTAATTCTACCTTTAAGAAGAAAAAACAATGAAAAATGTAAACAAAAACATCCATTTGTGACACTTTTCTAAACATACAGCACAAAGAAATACATTGACTATTTAAAGGTGTAGGATGCAGTTTAATTCACAATTTATCACAGCCATCTTAAGCGGTTTTCAAAAAACATAACCAGTACTTTCTGATAATAAAATGAGTATTTTATATTGCGAGGGAACAGTTTTAATGATAGAACCATATATCAAAATACCATCACCATTTATAGAGACAACATCACCATATACCAAGACTACTTTACCATTCAGAAATACGATATAATTGATACCCAGCACCGTACAACTATTGTGAGCCAACGTATAGTACATACAGGATATTCTTAAATGAATAATATACATCATGTAATGATGATATACCACTAAATATCATGAAAATAGCCCGTGGATTATATCATGTTACGCAAGCTTCGTATACAAATGAACTGACATCATGTAACGGAAAATCATCATCATATAATGATAACTTTGCATCACCTAACTACGTACTAGCATCACGAAACAACAAATAGACATATTATAAACAAGAGCAAACATATTTTAATGGCACAATAGCGTCGTTTAACGAAATTGAACATCATATATTGATTTTTTTGCATCCGTGTATGATATATTTAAATCTATTATTATCTGCGCTCATGTTCAGTTAGTCATGGCGCTCCATTTATGGCTGTATAAAACTATAGCCACATATACACGTTGTACATAGAGTACCAGTTTAGCAACTACATTTTTTTCTTCATGTGACAAAATCACGAGTCATGTTAGAATGTAATATTGACATACTCTTCAGATATTACTTACGTCATGCAGTTCTTGCGCAGCATTCTTATAATACGTTTTCTCGGCTATATCGAGGCAATCCAGAAGCTTTCTTGTACATTGTATTGTATTGGAAGTTTCGCTATCAGTCATCGTATTGTCTGGTGAGTGCATGAACTTATTTCTTGATGCTAAAACCTGTAATATTTTGCCTAGTTAGTATGCCGGTAAAGTATTTAGATGAGTAAATTGTAATCTTGAATTGGCTGAGAATGGATTACTAAACACTAATCAATTATTGTTTCATTCGTTTTATTGGACAAAAATGGATGTGATATGTCTGTTTAATTTTCGTACTCGTAATAAGGGAATATTTCATATAACTTAATCGAAGGTTTTAATATAAGAGCAAGTTACCTCATCCAATGGTTCATCTAAGTCATTCGTAGATATAAGTTTACAATTTCTCATGATTTTGATAACATGCGTGATATCGAGATTGTCTAAACTGGTACATTGTTTCATAACATCTTCGTTTTCAATGTGCATATATAGCTTGATAACATTCCACTTTAACTCTTTGCAATGATAGCCACCACCTGCTGTGCCATGATTTTCTGACTTTCCTAGCGGCGCCCATGTGTATTTCAATTTATGTCCTTGTTTATGGTTGTCAATAAAATAACGCATAATGTCCCTACAACTTTCATGTTCACATTCCCATCTTTTATCTGTTGAACCTTTTGATTTCGTATTTAACAGTGATATATTGTTTGCTTTTAAACACAAAAAATATTGATATAGCTCCTCATTTGAATTATTGCTTAAAACGTTATCTAGTTTATCTGAAATACATTCACATAATGCAGTTCTTGTTGTGTTTAGTCCAAACACACCTTTTAACCAATTTTGAAACTCTTTATTGTAAATGTCAAACGGCATTTTTTCCTCCCTGTCTTTTAATGTTACTTGTACCTTTTCTGAAAGGAAAATTCGATAAAATATGACAATAGTAATGAGGCAACAACTTGAATATATTAAACAAATTTCTTCAGGTAAAGTTCATTTCAATTAACATGCATTATACAAAATTTAGCCTGTCATAATGAAAGCAATGTTTGCTTAAAATTATACGTAATATGTATGTTGTGCAGTTGATATTGTTATATGCAAATATTTGTAAAGTTTTTAAATAAAAGATAAAAAAGATACATTTTAATAAAAATTCTGACTTTATATAAATGGCAAATGAACACAAATCACTAAAATGTGTAGCTGTAGATTCACTGAATCTATGTCAAAGCAAAATTGACTGATATTTCGGTCACAGTAATGAGTTAAAACTTGTACATGAACTTGTGATACATGTCTGTTATTAGAACAATCTTTTTGCGACTTTAAACTACACAGATAAAGTTTTATACAAAAAGATTTCAACTAACCTCATGGATAAAACGATGGAATACCTTTAAAATGTGTCTGTTAGAAGTGTTTCGTTCGGCAAAATATACCTGAAATAGGATGAATGCTCATACATAATTTTTCAGGCAGACAATATACAGCATTTTAGTCCATTGAATAATACAGTGTATAATAAACAAGAGGGCCATGATGGCCCTGAGGTCGCTCACCTGTATATAGGCCCCCCGGAGCGGGGTCAGTTTAAACCCCAGGGCTTTTATTTGAACAAACTTGGAAGACACCCATTAGAAGATGTTTCATGATGTTAAGTTTTTACTACTATCTTCAATTTAAAAAATAAAGGAATAAAATGAACACAAGGCGTGGAAGTTCCGGGCGTGAGGGCCCGTCAAAAAAATCGGGAACTGTGTCGGTGTCGACGAGGTCGCCTAAAATGCCAGACTCGAACAAAAAGGATCACAGAAAAGATATACTTGGAAGAGACACTGATACTCAGGACAAAAGTGTAAAGCAGGTAAAAATTGACAAAATGATGGCACAAAAAGAAAGTGAGCCGGACTTTAAAAAGCTTATGGACATAGTTACAAGGTTAGAAAAGAAGGTAAATAATTTGGCTTCTAAGGAATATATTGAAAACGCGCTAGACGCACGTCTGGAGGGCCTTGTCAGTGAAGACTTCGTTGCCTCTTCCTTGAAAACACTTAAAAAAGACATAAGTGATGAGATTAAGGCAGATATAGATAAAGTATATGAGCAGATAAGGTCAGTAAAAAGCAAAATTAAAGAAGCTCACACGGAGATAGAACATCTAAAAAACTCAGAAAGTGATATGAAAGTAGAACTACAAAAGGTAAACGAGGAAAACGAAAAACTTAGAAATAGGAACAAAGAGCTTAACGAAAAAATCAACAACAATCACGATAGAATTAGATACAATGAGCATCAAGTGAATTAGCTTGAGCAATACACCAGGAGAAACAGCATACGGATCTATGGGATGAACGATACCAACAAGAATGAAACACCAGAAGATACAGGGCAAAAGGTACTTACTTTCTTGAAAGACAAATTAGACATTGATCTTGATCCTACAGACATCGATATCGCACACATAATGGGGAAATTTATTGTTGATGGCAACAGGCCTGTCATCTGTAAATTCATATATAGGACACATAAACTTAAGGTCATTTCGGCCAGGAAGAAATTAAAGGGATCAACTCAGGTGATCAGGGAGGATCTTACATTAAGAAATGCAAGACTACTTGAAAAACTGTCTCAAAAAGAGGAAGTGAAAAACTGTTGGTCAGACGAGGGCAATATTATTGTCCTTTTGACAAACGGAAGAAAGATGAAGGTAGATATGTATACAGATCTTTCAAGGCCTTTACTCTAAAGTGTGAAAAGAAGGTTAATTTAACTCTTTGTGACTTAGAAGAAACGATAGATTTATGATACAAACTGTATTTAGTTGCGTGATGTGTTAAAACTGATGATGGATACACACATGTTTCATTTTCAATATCACACGTGGTTTTGTTTGTTGATTTATGTAAATAATGCCCTGTCATAAGCTTTTTTAGATTTACTCTATTTTCATTGGTCGTACACTAGCTGTGTGCATTACGTAGTAAATCACATGCGACAAATTGCGCTTTTGACTGGCCTAATGCAAATCATCATTTATTTACACATAAACGTCTACGTCACCAGTTATCGCGCTACAGTACAGTATACAGATATTTTACAAAGCTAATTCTGTTTATTTACGCAATTCAGCTGGTTAGAATTGCTGGCGTAAAGTAAACATTACGAATAATGATGAGACCTGTTAGATGCGTTCATTGAGAGTTCGTTTTCCCGTTTGTTTTTCTTTTTGCACAAGCGATAATGGTGGAAAATTAATATAATCACGTAAGCGGCCAAACAAGGAAATGAAATGTAAATAAATGAAATTTCATTTAAAACATGTATTTAATCGAACTATCACGAGTCGTTATTGTATTTAGTTAATATTACACAGGGTTTTAGCCATTCATGCCGACAATTGCAGATATATTGAAATATATTTGTATAACACAAAGACACAACTCTGAAATATTGATTTGCGCTTCTTTTTCTGTAATCTTATTTTTAGAGATAACAACAGGATATATTATATGATTTGTGAAAATTGAAGAAGCAAATGCCATATTATTTATGCTTAAGTACATGTAAGCTTACTCTTTGTATAGATGGTTAGTCCCAATGTTGCTTATTATGAATAATTTTTCTTTATGCTTTTTGTATTTATAATTAATATGCAAGTATGTCTACAAAAAGTTGTGGTGGTGTGAATTTAAACATAATTTAATTAGAGGTCACACTAAATTAAATAATGTTATAGTATAAGAAGTGTTAAAAATATAACAAAACACAGACAGCCCTTCTTGTTTTGTTTTTTTCTTCAAATTTTTATTTGTATAATGGAAAGATGTTTTAAGAATAAAATATGTTGGGGCAGTGCAGAGAGGATCAAGTTTCTGTTTTTTTTTTCTTTACTTAGCAGTTTAAATTACTTTTTTAAAACTGATATTTTTTCCATTGTCAAACATTATAACTGGTTTAGGGATTTTTTGACATGATGACTGAAAATATAAATTTTGTCTCAATGAATGTTCAGGGGTTAGGGGATAGCCAAAAAAAGACGTATTTAATTACTTAAAAGGGAAAAAATACAATGTATATTTTTTACAAGATACACATTTTACTAATAAAGAAGTTAATTTTATCCGCTCACAGTGGGGATATGAATGCTATCTCAGTAATTATAATAGTCAATCTAGAGGAGTAGCAATATTTATTAATAACAATTTTGACTTTAAATTTAAAAGTCTTGAAACAGATCAAAATGGTAATTTACTTATTATACATGCATGCATTTCAAATATTGATATCACTTTAATTTGTATATACGGACCAAAAAGAGATGACCCTATCTTCTACAACAATATAAAAGAGAAAATCTTACAGTTAGAGAACCCATGTATAATGGTAGGCGACTTTAATATGGTGTTAAATCCTAATATGGACTGCTTTAATTATTTAAACATAAATAACCCTAAGGCCAGGGAAGTTATTTTAGATATGATAATTGAATGTAACTTAATTGACTGCTGGAGGGAACAATTTTTAGAAAAAGGCAGTATACTTGGTTTAAAAGAAACCCTATAAAAAAGCTAGGCTTGACTTTTTCTTAATCTCAAATGACCTTTTTACAGATATGAGTAGTGTTGACATTGTGCCAGGTTATAGAACAGATCATTCCATGATTTTATTAAGTATTCAATTTGGCAAATTTAAAAAAGGTATTTCATACTGGAAATTTAATAATTCCCTTTTGAAAGATTCACAATATGTTAATGAAATTAAATCCGTTATATCCCAGGTCAAATTACAATATGCTTCTAAGGCCCAAGAAACAGAGGTACAATTAGAAAATATAAGTAATAATCTTATAAGTTTTATAATAGACGATAAACTATTTTTGAAACACTGTTAATGGAAATTAGGGGAAAAACTATTTCATACTCATTTTATAAAAAAAACAAGAAGACAAAACTCAGGAAAAATTAATGATAGAAATTGGTAATTTAGAAAGACAGTCAAATATTAATGTCCAGATTTTATATGAAAAAAAGAGGAATTACTTCAATTCCGAAATAAGAAAATGCAAGGTGTTTTTATAAGATCTAGGGCTAAATGGATTTCAGAAGGGGAAAAAACATCAAGATATTTTTGTAACATGGAAAACAGAAATTATGTCTCAAAAACAATGAATTCTTTATATGATATATCAGGTACTTTGCTTACAGATCAAAAAGAAATTCTACAAGAAGTAGCTGGTCATTACAAAAATGTATATACTTTAAGGGAAACAGATGATGTCAATCTTACTGCTTTATTTGATAATAATAATATACCAAAACTGAATGATGAAGAAAGCAAAGGACTTGATGGTCTTTTAACTTATAATGAAATGTTAGCCAGTTTAAAAAAAATGTCAAATGATTCTGCCCCAGTTAGTAGTGGTTTTACAGCGGCTTTCTTTAAAAAAATTTGGAATGATTTAGGGCATTTTGTAGCTAGATCAGTAAACCAAGCTTTTGTTTCAGGAGAATTATCAGATACATTTAAACAAGGGGTTATAACATGCATCCCTAAAGGAAACAAAGATAAACTTTATATTAAAAACTGGCGACCTATTTCTTTATTAAATGTTTCTTACAAAATTGCATCAGCAAGTATTGCCCAACGCCTAAAAACTGTTTTAAATAAACTTATAAGTGAAGATCAAACTGGTTTCTTATCTGGAAGATACATAGGTGACAATATAAGACTTATTTATGATATTATGCAATACACAGATGACCATCAAATTCCTGGAATGTTGTTACTTATTGATTTTGCAACAGCCTTTGATTCTGTATCATGGACATTTATGCATAAAGTTTTAGAGTTTTTCAATTTTGGTGAAAATTTCATAAGTTGGGTAAAGTTATTTTACAAAAACAT